GAGAGAGAGAGAGAGAGAGAGAGAGAGAGACAGAGAGAGAGAGAGACAGAGACAGAGACAGACAGAGACAGATAAAGAACGCGTTGTTTATCTACATATATTTATTTGATAAAGAAAATGTTTCAGAATAATTGACAATGAAACTCCATCAACATTTCTTTATAATATTTCTTTCTTTCATCAGATAGCTCTCAGGGAGGTTACAAAGATCCCAGCTGTCGATGAAAGCTCACGGACTCATCAACTCATCCCTCGCCCCCACAGACTTCAATCACGTAATGCCTACTGCTACAACACGCGGATCTTACTATACTCAAAATGACATATTCTTCTGGAGAGTTCTTCTTACATCTTTTACATGCTGAGTCGATTTCTGGAAGAGTAGCGAACGACCTGAGCTGTGGGAACAGATAACGAGGAATTCTGTCCCACCACACCAGTTGAAACCGTGAAAAAAAGTGTTAATATTCTCTAGATAAAATGTTTCGTGGTTGAATTCGCAGAGTCGAGCGCGCGCTCTGATGGTTATGAGATATTTCTGACGCACTGGGAATAGGATTGATTTGCTAGAGTTCTGTGGATGTGGTATTTGTGTGCTAACGATCTCTCACTAGGAATCCCTTAATTTTTTGTTGTTGAGTTGGAGGCTAATTTGAAATGTGCACCGCGATCCCTTGGGGTTGTAAGTGCACGCTTTAATAAAAATGTAAAAAATATTGTTTAAAGTCGAAAAAACTCGCCGCAAGATCATATCTGAATGTGGTATACACGTCGATTTCTTCTATTGACCATCTCCACGTTTTAAACCATTGTGTAGTTCTACGAAAAGAGTAAATTGAAAATAAAAATTGTTGAAAATAAGGGCAAAAACTCTGACCTCTGTTAAGCAAATAATATTATATCATTACAGAAACGCAATTCTGCAAATTTCATTTTTAAAACCTCCCCAAAAAACAGAAGCGTGAGGGGAAAATTAAGCGAAGAGAAAAAGCGTAAACATTTTTCTATATTATTTTATATTCAAATTGATGTAGTGTGGGGTGCATTATTAGTGCACAGGTAAAAAAGAATCTTTGATCGTGAACTAAAAAAAGGTCCTAAAAATGTTTTTTTGAGGAACTGGAAGACACAAAAAAGTTGTACTTGATGTGGAAAATGGGCTGAAGATCTACATTTATGGAGGGACATTGTAATATTGCCAGCCCGCCTTTTATGAATTCCGCTGTAGTATCTACCACTGGTCGGATGTTGTAAACCGTGCCCATGTGAGGTTCCATAGCGCGTGTGTTCAGTAGTTAGAATGCCTGTGGTAGAGTCTAATAGGTTCAGTGTTTGTTGACTATTTCTGGAAAGAAGAATTAATTCTTGAGTGGAGTATATTGTTATAACGATGGCTTTTCGAAACGTGGATATGGCTTTCCTGTGTGTGACTGTGCTTGCAGTGGTGCATTGCTGCTGTGGCCAAAGGATGGATAACGAAGAGAGGGATATTCGGGGGTGAGTACTTTCTAGTGTTCGCTGTCTCTCGCTCACACTATTTTTTCTCTGTTTCTCCCCCACACACTCTCTGTTTCCCTCTCACACACACCATCTCTCTGTTTCTCTCTCTCTCTCTCTCTCTCTCTCTCTCTCTCTCTATCTATCTATCTATCTATCTCACTCAATCGTCTTTATCTTTCCTCCTTTTTTGTGTATGTTACTCTCTTGTAACACCTTTAATCTTCGGAACTTATATGACGTTACTGTGTTGAAAGTGCCGCAAAACATTTACTATGATCTCTCACACTCACTCTCTCTCTCTCTCTCTCTCTCTCTCTCTCTCTCTCTCTCTCTCTTCCGCCCCTCCCCCTACCCCCGCCCTTCCGCCGTTAAGTGGCAAGTCGAAAGGTTTGGAGGGGTTGGATATAGCAGGTCGACGTGCCCAATACTTAATCATGTTGTTATCCAATATGATAGTTCTAATGAAAGAGAAAGAATGGAAGAGATAGAGATAGAGAAAGAG